GACAGGTCTAGTCTCCCTTACACACCTGCCGCACATCTACCGAGACCCTCAGCATCCTATCCTTTGCCATTTCATAAACCTCCATTGCACACTTACTATGTGCCAGGCATATCTGCAAGGCACATGGTCAGGTCAGAGGGAAGATGGTCAAACCCACACCTGACGCCCTCAGTAGAATGCTGGCAAGTGCTCTTATGGATGTACGCCCAAGAACCAGGCAAGCACGTAGGGGACCCAGATCTAGCAGGGGAATGAGACAGGCAGGTCCACCTATCCACGGTAATGCTTTCCTTTTCCCTGAGTCTCACCTCCCTTCTGTGTAAATGCTGTGCTTCCTATAAGGTCAACTTAGGTTCCACCTCCTGTGACACTCTCCCCGCCCTCCCAAGCAAGGTGTGGTCCCACTGGTGTTATGTCAACTGTGGCTTAGTGTTTATAAGGGGACCACATACCCTAAGGCCAAGGAAAACTGGCCAAATACCATGACTGAATATGCAAGCCCAAGACCACAAGGAAGAACCAAAGGCATATACCCCTCATAAAGTACAGGCCCCCTGACTGAGTACAAATATGTACTGAGCCTCTGCTATTTAAAGCCATTTAAATATCATGTATTAACTATAATATGTATTTTATTACTTATACTATGTAATTTTTACATGATGGAATCATCCATGTTATATGTATTATACATATTATATGCTTTTCATATAAAAATTCATATAAAGTCCAGGGGTATTTTTGGGAGGGGGGTACTGGGGTTTGAACTCAGGGCCTACACTTTTTCCAGGAAGTAGAAAGGGAAGGAACTCTACCAAATTCATTCTATGAAGCCAGCATTACACTCATTCCAAAACACAATAAAGATGCAACCAGAAAAGAGAATCATAAACCAACATCTTCAATGAATATAGATGCAAAGATTCTCAACAAAATACTGGCAAACAGAATTCAACAACACATCAAAAAGATCATACACCATGACCAAGCCAGTTTCATCCCAAGGATGCAAGGATGGTTCAACATATGTAAATTCATAAACGTAACGCAGCATATAAACACAACCAAAGACAAATACCACAGGATCATCTCAATAGATGCAGAAAAAACCTTTGACAAAATACAATACCCTTTCATGATAAAAGCTCTGAAGAAACTAGGAATAGAAAGAACATCCTTCAACATAATAAAGGCTATATATGACAAACCTAGAGCCAACACAGTACTAAATTGAGAACAACTGAAACCATTTCTGTTAAAGTCACGAACGAGACAGGGATGTGCATTTTCCCCACTCCTAATCAATATAGTTTTGGAATTCCTAGCCAGAGCAATAAGACAAGAGCAAGAAATAAAAGGGATTCAAACAGGGAAGGAAGAAGTCAAACTATCCCCATTTGCAGATGACACGATCCTATACCTAAAAGACCCTAAAAACTCTACCAAAAAACTATTAAAAATTATAAATTCTTTTGGCAAAGTAGCAGGATACAAAATTAACATACAGAAATCAGTAGCCTTTCTATATATCAACAATGAACAGACTAAGAAAGAAATCAGGGAAACAATCCCATTTACAATAGTCTCAAAACCAGTAAGTATCTTGGAATAAATTTAATGAAGGAAACCAAAGACCTTTTTAATGAAAACTGTAAGCCACTGAAGAGAGAAATTGAAGAACACATCAGAAGATGGAAAGACCTTCCATGCTCATGGATTGGTACAATCAACATTATGAAAATGGCCACACTACCAAAAGCAGTCTACATGCTCAATGCAATCCCCATCAAAATTCCAATGACATTCTGCACAGAAGCAGAAAAATCACTTGTGAAATACGTATGGAAACACAAAAGACCTCAAATAGCCAAAGCAATTCTGAGCAAAAAGTCCAATGCTGGAGGCATCACAATACCTGACCTCAAACTATACTTACTACAGAGCCATAACAGTAAAAACAGCATGGTATTGGCACAAAGACAGACAGGAAGACCCAGACAGAAACCGATGCACTTACATCCAACTGATCTTCAACAAAGGAGCCCAAGACATATGATGGAGAAAAGAGAGTCTCTTCAACAAATGCTGCAGGGAAAACTGGATATCCACATTGTAGAAGAATGAGACTAGATCCCTGTCTTTCACCCTGTACCAAAATCAACTCAAAGTGGATCAAAGACCTTGCTATAAGGCCTGAAACTTTGAAACAACTCCAGGAAGTAGTAGGAAATACACTGGAACATATGGGCATAGGGAACTACTTCCTAAGTAGAACTCAAAAGGCTCACCATCTAAGACAAAGAATGAACAAATGGGACTGCATCAAACTAAAGAGCTTCTGCACAGCAAAGGAAACAATCACCAGACTCAAGAGACAGCTCACAGAATGGGAGAAAATCTTTGCCAGCTACTCATCTGACAAAAATCTAATATCCAGAATCTACACGGAACTCAAAAAACTCACCCCCAAAGAATCAACACCCCAAAGAAGAAATGAGCACACGAATTAAACAGGGAATTCTCAAAGAAAGAGGTACAAATGGCCAGTAAATACATGAACAAGTGTTCAAGTTCCCTGGTTATAAAAGACATGCAAATCAAAACAACACTTAGCTTTCATCTCACCCCAGTTAGAATGGCCATATTCAAGGGTGATAACAACAAATGCTGGCCAGGATATGGCAAAATAGGAACCCTTATACACTGTTGGTGGGAATGAAAATTAGTACAACCAGTATGGAAAGCAATTTGGAGATTCTTTGAAAGGCTGAAGATAGAACTACCATTTGATCAGTGATACCACTACTCCTGAGTGTCTACCCAAAGGAACATAAGTCAGGATTCCACAGAGACACCTGTACACCGACGTTCATCACAGCACTATTCAAAATAGCCAAGCTCTGGAAACAACCAGGTGCCCTGCAACTGATGAATGGATCAAGAAAATGTGGTATACACACACGACGGAGTTTCACTCAGCCAAAAGGAATAATGACATGTTTGAAGGTAAATGGATGCAACTGGGGTACATCATGTTAAGTGAAGTAAGCCAGGATCAGAAACACAAAGGACGCATGTTTTCTCTCATATATGGAAGATAGATCCAAAGATATACATATACACAAAAACATGCATGACCACATACAAACTCAGATGTAGAACATGTTTGCAACAGTGGAACTACTCTATGGAAAGGAAAAGAGAATGACAGAATGTAAGTAATAATGTAAAGCATAAGACCTGTGAAGGGAGAAGATAAAAGGATGTGTACTGAAAGCTGTTGAATAATGGGGGGCTGAAGGTAAAGGGGTAAGGGAGAGTAATGGAAGGGGTTGAATGGACCAAAGTAAAGTAGACTCACAGTGGGCATTCATTGAGATGACCCTTTGAACATCAACTTAAATATTAATAATGAGAGACAGGACTGTAAAACAGGTACAATGTGGGGGGGTACTAGTGGGAGGTGGAGGGTGAATGAAGGAGATTATGGTGATGATATATGGTTGATGGACTTCATATACCTATATGAAATAGAACAAAGAAATCTCTTGCAACTGCTTTAAGTGGGACAGGAAGAGGGTGGAGAGGGAGAGTTGGGTAGGGGGGTAATGCAACCAATATAAGGCTAATCGGAATTGTCATGAATCCCCCACCATAACAAATATATCAAATAAATAAATTGTGAATAATAATTTTAAAAATTCATATAAAGTCTAGGTTTTTTGTTTTGTTTTTCTGTACTGGGATTTGAACTCGGGCTACACCTTGAGCCACTCCCCCAGCCCTTTTTTGTGATGGGTATCTTATTTTTTTTTTTTTCATTTTTCTTTTATTATTCATATGTGCATACAAGGCTTGGTTCATTTCTCCCCCCTGCCCCCACCCCCTCCCTTACCACC